GTCCGGACCAACACTGGAAACGAACTCTGGTTCGTTTAAAGCAGAACAAATTATCAGGTCTGAATACGACCTAAATATGCAACAAGTAGGAAACAGCTGTGTAACATTTGTACCACAGGAGTGCAGACAAAAAGGACACATATTTTGATTATCTCCCACTATCATGAAAGATGGGTGATTAACTGCAAAAAAAATTTTTTAAAGAGGGGTATTACGTACAATCGCCTTTTCTTGTATCATGTTATGTCATTCCCTCATCAAAAACATCCTCAGAGTGTTGCTTTGATTCATTCGTGCTTGTTTGAGAAATCCTTGACTCTCCTGCGGCCATGTGGAGCTGCCTAAACACTTGCTGGTACAAAGCACCACCTCTTTGTACAAAGCTCCTCCCTGAAGCTCAGTCTGCAGCCCAGCTCCCACCTCACAGAGCACCCCTCCCCTGAAGCATTGTTGTGAAGATGTGCTGAAGTGGGAGTGTCAGAAATGGTAGGAGATTCTTAAAGAGACAGAGGCCTGTTTCAAGGTGTTTAGATAGACTAAGATGCAAAGTCTAATTTATTTTCTATGCAGCATTTTTATAACAACTGAAGGTAATATAGTCACTTGATGTAAAATTAAACTGTGTGCCTGAAAAATACATAATACTCCACTTTAATACTGCACACCGGTCCGGTTCTAACTTTTTTCATCTACGTAAAATTCGTAGGTGCAGGGGGTGGGGGTGGGGGGGGTTGACGCCCACCTCTGAAATCCTTCCTAAAAGCCTGCACACATCTATTAATATTTTACATTATAGATAGGAAAAMAACAAGTAATTTTACTAATACAGTATGTAGGTCAATTGGTGTCTGATATTTCCAACTGGATTCCAGCATATTTTAATGTCTACATTGCGAAGCAGACGTGGCCCTTGTCTGATGGCTCCAGCTGGTTATTTGTTTCYATAAATTCCAAAAAAGTGAATGTCGGCACAATCTGTTGCAAATATAAACTCTAGAAAAAATTTACACAAAACTCAAATTTTAAGACGCATAGAGATGGGTTACCCTCTTCAAAATGTATGACCTATCCTTTTAAAGATGTAACGCATTTTGACTTGTAAGTCTGACTTTCTGAGTTTCTAGCATGACAAAAACTGGAAAAAATAAAAATAAATAAAACAGTAAACTTTTTGGGGAACGAGGGAAATCCAGCATTTCTAATCTGAAAAATCCAACAAATAAGCGACCTTGTGTGAAAAGTCATAATAGTTGTATTTATTAGCCTGCTGTCACAGTGCGTACCAATAAATCAGTTCCAGAAAAAGTACTGTCCATTTTCTATCAATGAACACTGTTTGTACAAACTGCAACTAAATAATCTGTTTATCAGCTCATACAGCCGGYCTGGTCAAAAACTAAATCCTACTGGTTTTTCCAAGTTGCGACATGGTGCACCATTAGTTTTCTTACAGGGTTCCTACAGTTTAAAGCAAGTTAAATTTAAGACTTTTTAAGACTTTTTAATGCCAAGTGAAATTAATTTTAAGACTAATTTCATAATAAACAGAAATGACAAAAAATAAAAACTGGCAGAAACTCATGAATCAAAGTAGTTTTGGTTGAAGTATTCAAATATTGCTAACAGATCAATTGTTTTTATCCATATCTAACTATAGCAGAAACGTTCTTAGCAGTCAGTTTTAAACTTAATTTAATTTCAGGAAATCCTCTAACGACCCAAAATTTGGAGTTTTAGGACCCACAGTGGGGTCTCAACCCCTACTTGCTGTAGATGAAACTATATATTCATCATAGAATATCGTTATGGGTCCGAAATGTAAAACGGGGCCGATATTAATGTCCGATATTGATTTCCCACTTTTTATCTTTGTGTTTGTTTTGGGAGGTGAGATGGTTGGTTGAGCAGCATCTGTTTGATTGTGATAGTGATATTGATGCTGCGTAGCCAGGAATAACTGAAGTAAGGAGCCATGTCAGAGGTCTGGTTGTTTATTTACAGTATCAAAAAAGACACAAGTGTGTTTGTGTGTATGTATAATATAATTTGTGTGTTTCTGTAATATCGGTAAATATCAGTTATCAGTCATAACAGCAATAATTATATCAGATATCAATATCTGCTGAAATTTTCATATTGATGTATCCCTAGATGAAACCTTCAAGTGCCGGTGACAAGTGAATACATTTTTGKAAAGACAACATTAAGGTATTACAAAACRAATTTCACATTGCTCAGATGAACAACTGAGATATTTGCATGTGAAGTAACAGGACGTGATGTCGAAGGGGAATGTCTGCATGTGAATATTTTAAAAAAATTATTTTTACCAATTATTTTAATATTTGAGATGAATTACAGTCATCCTATTTACAATGTGTTCACATTTTTAAGACTTCTGAAAGATTGATTTAAGACATTTTAAGGCTAATTAAGGCCTTATTTTTGGATTGATGAATTCAATGACTTTTAAGACTTTTCAAGGATCTGCAGGAACCCTGTCTTATTTCAGGCTAACACTCAGGATCCACGTAAACAAAATGTGACGATCAGGTCCGGGTTAGGACTCGTATCAGTTTCAGGAGTTTATTTCAAAGTGAGCTAATTTAGCAACAAAAGCAAAAACTCAAAAAGTGTTTTTTTGGAATTCATTGTTCATGTGAAGAAATGTGCAGAAGAAATGTTCTGACTCAAACCCAYGAGGTTCTGGTCGAGAAGGTAACCCACCTGTCAAGGAGTCTTCATCTGGTGCCACTTTGAGTTTTGAGTCCGAGGTGCACACCTGGTTGTAGGCGACCCCTCCGATGACGGTGCAAGTGATTTTCTCCTCATTTCCGCTGCCCATGTTGAGCTGGATTCCTTCTGATGCCAAAGCCTCGTAGCTGGGACCAGTGATGATAATTAACTAGTAAAAAAACACGATTATGAAAAGTTGGAACGGCTATGACGATGGCAGACTTTTCTGTTTTTAGATCCTGATTCACCAACCTGCGATCCCTCCAAAGCCGTCCTCTGGTCAGGGATCTCACAGCCGGCCACCACCGTCTGCASAGTCTGCGGGTCGAACAGTTCAGTCTGATCCTGATCAGGAGGCGCAGGATGTTGCGCACCCAGAGGAGCGGGATCATTCAAGCTTTGAGAGAGTTCCAAATCCTCATCCGTCGTCTCCATTTCATCCTCCAGCTCATAAGCACCCTCCACAGTCCGGACTTCCTCCTCCCTGAGCTGCTCCCTCTCYCCCTCTCCTCCCTCCTCGCCTTCCTTCAGATCCTCTGCGGGGATGGAGTGCAGTGCTGCCGTGAGGGACCCCTGCTGCTGCACCATCTCCACCTCCCAGGCAGGCTGTCCTGTCAGAGGAGCATCCCCAGAAGAGGCCTCTGAACTGGACCTGCGGCGTAGACCCGAGGCCTCTTCGGTCTGGATCAGAGCTGTACACTGTTCCTCAGAAACATTCAGTCCAACATCTACAGAGGATCAGATAAACTGATGTAATCAAATGCATATTCATAATACAAACAAACAACAGCATAAAGCTACAGTTATACTGCTGCACCTTTAAATGTTTTCTGATCCTCGTGTCGTCTTTGTCGGGTCACGGGGCCTTTTCCCATACGTGTGTCAGTTTTAGCCGTCCCCCCATCATCGCTGTCCCCRTCTCCTCTCGCCTCGCGCTCTGAGTCACTTGCCTCCCTCAGCGGGGAGAACAGGTACTGTACAAAGGAGTGATTTGAGTCACACTGCCACTTAGCAGCAGTGGAGAAGTCAGGCTGGGGCTCCAGGGCTCTAAGCTGGGGCTCATGGGGGCAGGAGCCCGAGTGCTCCTGGTACCAACACACCAGACCCTGGAGGCTCGACACGCGCTGCTTCCTGCCTGAAACAACAAAGGAAATGGGATTATTCTCATTTTAAARTAGACGCACGTACGCTTTTAAATCTTTCTTTTTCACATTTAAATCATTCGGTTGGAGAGCGGAAGACGCACCAATAATCCTGATGATCTCACACCCCGTTCTTCCCTCACTCATGATTAAAGCAGTTAGCAGGGTACGGTCTATCACATGATGATTAAACAGAGACTGAACGAGCACAGCTTATCTCCTTAACAAAACTACTGCACCACAAATTACGGTTGTCATTTAAATGAACCACGGGACTTCTGGAATAATGTCACGTGGACAGATGACACCTAAGTAGAGATGTTAAGCCAAAGGTCCACAGAGCCAGGTTTGGCAAAAACCAAACCAAGCATATCAACACACATGGACCCACCTGACACTGAAATTAAARTGACTGTATTATTTTATATTATTATATTATTCACAGAAACAGCAGCTGTAGTAAAGGCAGGAGGTATAACACTATGAGTCCAACAAAAAGGAAATATTCACCTCTTTTCTGTTTTGCTGGAACTTCTCCTGTTGTTTTCTCTCTGTGAACAAACACCATTTGGAACAGAACTATTAATAACAGGCATTAAACTGTTCAGCCCGCCCTGTTAGACAAGGCAGCAGCAAAGGGTTCAGATTCTTACCCGCAGTATTTCTGTCTGYATTTCTCTCCGTACGTGGAGTAGAGCAGGATGAGATGGTCTGCCAGCCCAGCATCACTCAGACCGGTCCTCCTGCGGAGCTCGCTCCACAGCTTGTGCGACTCTCCGAGGTACACCCGCCTCACGTCGTACTTCTTCCGGGATTCCAGGCGCCTCTGTGCTCGGTCAGAGTCCGTGAGCCTCGGTCGTCCCCTGCAACGCAGCAAAGCCCCCTGGTCTCCGGTTCGGTTAGCTGTCGGAGGACCGCCTGCGATCACCGGGCAATGCGCCATATTGTTTTGGACAGCTGATTCTACCGGAAGTTGTGTCAATCCTTACAGGAAGTTTGGGGGAAGTTATAAAATAAAATAATTGTTTTCTGGTGATCAGAAAACTTGTCATGAAACAAAATTGTTTAAAAGTATTTGTATGTATATATTTGTATCCATGCCTGCGAACAGCTGCGACGAYAATAGCAGGCTGGTGTTGTGACGAAAAGAGCACCCCCTGCAAACCCAAGCACTCAGTGCGTTTCACAGCAGTGCTACTCAGAAATAAMCTGGAGAAAAGTCTAAACTGATTAAAAAATGTTTTTATTTCCATTTCAAACTCGTTTTTTTACATTTAAAGCAGGATGCAGGATGTTATAAACTAGGCTATGCACTCTCCAATTATTTGTTACCAACGGTTTGCATAAAGTACTTTTGGCATTATATTTATGTAATGCATAACATCAGCGTGCATAAGTAGCTTATCACAATGATGAAATAATTTTAGATAATTGAGTATTTAATGGCACTGAAAAAAAAATTCAATTGATTTTCCCAGTTGTTTTATTTTATTTAGTTTTATTTTATTTAAAAAAGAAAGAAAAACAATACGGTGCTTCTCTCTCTCTCTCTCTCTCTCTCTCTCTCTC